ATCATTATTTGTGTCTCTTCTCTATTTTATTGTGCCTATTGTTTGTTTATGTGTTTGCTTTTTCTTTATTTATCGTTTTCTTGATGTTGTTTTATTTTTTATTCGGGACGGATGAGTGGTGACTGGGATTGGGATGGTTCGAGCTGTGACCTTGTTTGTTTTGCATTAATAGGTCGTCACTTGTTATTATTATCATTGGTCCTGTTTATTTTATATATTTTTATTATTTTTTTGTTTATCTTTTTATTTATTTTTTTTTTGTTATATCTTGTTTTATTTCTTTTATTTGTCTTTTTTATTGTCTAGTTTGTTATTATTTCTCGTATTTGATATTTATTAGTGGGTTGGGTTGTGTTTTCTGATTGCTCTCTGAGACTGTTTGGTTTTTTTGCATTAATAGGTCTCGTCTATCTTGAACTCATGGGTTTTCTCGATTCTATTGTGCTATTTTGTCTGTTTATTATTTGTTTTTAGTTTCTGTTTCTTGAGGTGTATATTGGTAAGGATTGATAGTGAGGTGGATTGGTGTTCGAGCTGTGAACTGTTGGTGCAAAAGGTCGTCCACTTTGAAATCAAAGGTCCGAATTTATTATTTTTTGTTATTTGTTTTATCTATTATTGCTTGTTAATTACTGTTTTTTGAGGTGTACATTGGTAAGGATTTGCATAGTGACTGGATGGGTGTTGCCGAGCACAGTGAACTGTATGGTACAGAAGGTCGTCGCACTTTGAAATCAAAGTCCGAATTAGTTTAGTTTTTTGTGCTATTTGTTTACCTATCATTGCTTTATTTCATTGTTTTCTTTGCAGTGTATATTGTGGTAGGAATTGATAGTGACTGGTGTGTGTTCGAGTTTCTGAAACTGTGCTCACACGAAGGTCGTCACTGCTTTTGAAATCAACGGTCCGACTTACTTTATTTGTTTTTGTCGTATTTTGTTTATCTATTATTGCTTGTAATTTTACTGTTTGTCGTTGAGTGTGTAACTATTAGTGAGGAAGTTGATAGGTGAGGGTGGAGTGTGTTTCGGAGGCTGCTGAACTGTTGGTACAAGAAAGGTCGTGCGCGATCTTGAAGTCAGGGTCCGATTTATATGTAGTGTCCTAATTTGTTTGTTTATTGATTGCTTTTATTTATGGTATGTTATTTTTTTAGATGTATTTTGGTGGGAACTGATGGTGAGGGGGCGTGTGTTCGGAGCTCTGTACTGTTGGTACAAAAGGTCGTCCAGCTTGAAATCCAAGGTCCTATTCTTGTTTATTTATTCTTGTTTTTTTGCTTAAATCTGCTTTATTTTATTATGTTATTTAATATTTTTCGAGGGTGTACTTGTGAGGGATTGATGGTGAGTGGGTGGTGTTCCGAGATGTGAGACTTGTGGTGTGAAGGTTGTCCTCCTTCATTGTGTATTGGTTTCTGTATTTACTATACTCATGGTTGGTGTAGTGTAATTAATGGCATTGATGGTTGTGCTAGGTATTTAGTACTTGCATACGGTTAGGTAGGGTATGTAATTCATGCATTCTCATGGCTACGTATGTTTTTATGTATTCATGGTAGTGTATGTAATGATGTTAGTTCAGGTAGTTAATGGTATGTAACTCATATGTATTGATGCGTTGTGGTAATGTTTTTATGTATTGATGGTTGTGTATGTATTTATGTATTGCATGTTGTGTATGTATTTATGTATTCATAGGGTTGTGCTATGTATTATATGGTAATTCATGGTTGTGTACGCATCTTAATGTATTCAATTGGTTGTGTAAGTATCTAAAAAAAAAGAATGTTAAAAATTGGCGGAAAAATGTAGGTGTATGTTAATGATGTATTCCTTGGTTTATGTATGTACTAATGTCATATTGATGGTTGTGTAATGTTTTATGTTATTCATTGGGCTTTTTGCATGTATTTATGTATTCATGGTTGTGTATGAATTTATGTACGTGTGTGTTATTTTTTACCCCATTAGCATAGTCAAGAGGAGCAGTCCGCCCTTGATATTTTTAAATTGTTATCTTCATTGTTAAAATACTTCGCCAGCGACAACATAGCACAGGGTAAACATTATAAATAATAAATAATAAATTTAAAAGAAACACACACACACACACACACACACAAAACACACACAAAAAACAGTCATGAGAGAGGCATACAAGTATTTAAGGATACACGTATTGCATGCATGCCTGCCTGAAGCACCTACTAAAATTTATCATAGTCTATGCTACAACCTCAGATTAAGAGGCAAATGATAGTGACGATAAATACCTGGTAATAGTGCCCCCAAACACCGCTTGGGAATGGACGGTACTGGTAGCCTGTAGCACGCCCGCTCTCGAATACCAGGTGATGGTCGAGCGTGGGCGGCTGGGCGTGGTGTGGCAGGAAAGGGCGGCTTCTTCCCCTGCTTTCAACGTTCAGTAGGCTCACCCAGCGCGTCACTTCACGGGGTGGGACTGCCCGGGAAGAGAGAAGGTAGTATTTGTTGTTTGTTTCTTTTGTGTTTTATCAACAAGTATCTGGTTGTTATTGGTTGGACTGTAGGACGCGCTTGATTAGGGGACGGGGTAGATTGGTGGGGCGTTGGATATAAAGGGTATAGTAGTTCGTTGTCATTGTTGATTAACGATCTTTTTCAAGAACAGTAATATTATGGAACGATATACAATGGACTATCTATATCAAAATATCTTTACAGCACCGCAGATTCCTTCCAATATTTAATTCACCAAAAGGTAAAAATGGTACATAAAATATACAAGTCTAGCACAAGAGACAACACCTACATCACACACGACACACAAAGACACACACACACACACACACACACAACACACAACACACACCAACCTACAAACCTATACATAATCAAAGTTACACACACAGCACAACCATAAAGGCCTTGGGAGACAAAAGATGACACACATTCATAATCGGATTTTTCTTGCTCTTCCCTAGAGTCTGCTGTAAAGAGTATATCAGATGTTTACTCTTTTCTATGGTCATTTTTGTCCCTGGGTTTTTTTTATGTTTTTCTTGTGCTCTCTTTCTCTCTCTCTCGTTTTTCTCTCTCTTTCTTTCGTTCTCTCTTTTTTCTTTTCTCTCTCTCTCTCTCTCGCTCTCTCTCATCTCTCAACTCTCTTACACCCATCACACACACTCACACACACACACACACAGCAACACACACTCTCTCTCTCTATCTCTGTCTCTCTCAATCGATCATTTTTCACACACACATACAATTCTCTCTCTCTCATTCACTCCATCCTCTCTCTCTCTCGCTCTCTCTCTCTCCTCTTTTCTCTCTCTTCTCTCTTCTCTCTCTCTCTTCTCTCTCTCTCTCCCTCCCTCCCTCCCTCTCGCCGTCCGTCTCCCTCCTCTCTCTCTCTCTCTCCTCTCTCCCTCTCCCTCTCCCTCTCCCTCTCCTCTCTTCTCAATCATTTTCCCATTCCCCCAGAATTACAAATGCTCGCTCAAAAGGGGTGAATCGAAGGCGTTTGAGAATCAGAACGAAGTCTATAAATGTCCCTAATGCATTGCAGCAACAGTGACGCAGGAGCCAATCAGCGATCTCCGTCAAGATATAGAGCGCACTTCGACCAATCAGCTTGAGTGAAAGAACGGAAAACAGAGAGGCACTTTCCGCTTCTTCTTCCCTTCGTGTACACATGTTTTCGAGATGTTGCTGTTTTGTTTAGTTTTTTTACTTTTTTACTTTTTGCGGTGGAATTTGTTTTATGAAATTTTAGATATATCGTAATATATATAGTATATAGTATATATATATATTATATATATATATATGTATGTATAAATATATATATATGTATATATATGTGGTGTTGTATATGTTACTGTGTGTGTGTGTGTGTGTGTGTGTGTGTGTGTGTGTGTGTAATATACTATCATATCAGTATGATTATATATATATATATATATATATATACTATATACATATATACATATAGTGTGTGTGTGGTCGTGTGTGCCGCTAGTGTGTGTGGTGCTGTGTGTACTGGCATGGGCATATGATAGTGTATCGTAGTATATATTACTTGCATATGATGTTATAATTATGCGTGCGTGTGTGTGCTGTATGGTGTAAGTATAGTATTAGTAAATATATTAAGATATGCATATATATATTATATAGTATATTATGATATTATATTGCTGATGTGTGTGTGGTGTGTGTGTGGCGTGTGCTGTGCCTGTATGTGTGTAAATTATTAATAGTATATGTATGGTATACATATATATAGTATAATAATAATAGTATACGTATATATGATATCTAATATTACTACTATATACTATACATATCATGTGTGGTATATATATATAGTGTATATATATAATAGCATATATATATGATATATATTAATATGATATAAGTAATATATATATATATATTTATATTGTATATATATCTAGATAAGCACACACAAGATTATATATATTATATATATATATATATATAATATATATATAATAATTATATACCATATATAATATTCTTATAATTCTATATATGTATCTATTACTACATACATAGCATGATATATATATATAGTGATATACTTATGAAGATAATATATAAATTATATATATATAACCCCAAAACTCCCTCCATATACTATATATCTATATAATTATATATATGAAGCTGCCATGGATCACTAGAGTCAAAAGAGTTAAAATTGAATCAACGAAATCCTATTAACATAGCATGGGTAACCAAAACAACACCACAACACTAACACACAATCCTCCGCGACAAATTGATCAGAGAAATTGTGAGCAAAAGCCAATTCTAGCCAATAGTAAACAACACCTGAGCACAATAACAAGAGCCAGTGTTTTAGGGCAAGGATAAAAAAAGAACTAAATAGAAATGAGCTAGCAATGGGCTGAAACAAGGCACGAGAGCTGCGAACTGAGAACACAACACCGCACCACTTCGCCTACAAGACACAAAAGTGCCAACGAGATGAACAGGCATCTCGCCACAGATAGACACAATGTTGCCACGAGCATGAGACAGAGATACAAATATAAGAACACCACAAGACACACAGATCATAGCCAAACAACACCGGAGATACAGGCACTAATAAGCACAAGACACAGAGACACAAGATATACAGAACAGCACCGCCACATAGAACACAGAGTTGCCAACGACGATGAGAACATGGCGGCAAACTCTCGCGCACAGAGACACAGAGTTGCCAACCGAGATAACAGGCACTTCGCCATCAAGACACCAGGTAAGGAAAGTGCCAACGAGGATGAACAAGGCACTTCGCACAAGACAAAGCAAAAGTTGCCAACGAGAGTGAACAGAGGCACTTATTCGCCACAAGACACAGAACAGTTGCAAACGGTTGATGATCAGGCACTTCGCCACAAGACACAGGAGTTGCCAACGAGATTAAACAGGGCACTTCGCCACAAGACACAAAGTTGCCAACGAGATGAACAGGCACTTCGCCACAAGACACAAAGTTGCCAACGAGATGAACAGGCACTTCGCCACAAGACACAGAGTTGCCAACACGAGATGAACAGGCACTTCGCCACAAGACACAAAGTTGCCAACTGAGATGAACAAGGGCACTTCGCCACAGAGTAACAACAAAGTTGCCAACGAGATGAACAGCACTTCCGCCGCACAGAGTTGCCACGAGATGAACAGGCAACTTTCGCCACAAACACAGAAGTTGCAACAGATAATCAAGGCACTTCCGCCACAAGACACAAAGTGCCAACGAGATGTTGCCAAAGACAGTTGCTGAACAGGCACTTCGCCACAAGACACACCAGAGATGAACAGGCACTTCGCCAGCAAGACACAAAGTTGCCAACGAGATGAACAGGCACTTCGCACAAAGACACAGAGTTGCCAACGAGATGAACAAGCACTTCGCACAAGACACAAAGTTGCCAACCGAAGATGAACAAGCACTTCGCCAGCAAGACAACAACGTTGCCAACAAATGAACAGGGCACTTGTCGCCACAAGGACACAAAGTTGCCAACGAGAATGAACAAGCACTTCGCCACACAGACACAGAGTTGCCAACGAGATGAACAACAGCACTTCGCCAAAGACACAAAGTTGCCAACGAGATGAAACAAGCACTTCGCCCAAGACAAAAGATTGCCAACAAATGAACAGGCACTTCGCCACAAGACACAAAGTTTGCCAACGAGATGAACAAGCACTTCGCCACAAGACCACAAGAGTTGCCAACAGAATTGAAACAGGCACTTCGCCACAAAACACAAAAGTTGCCAACGAGATGAACAAGCAGCTTGTCGCCACAAGACACAAAGTTGGCCAACGAGATGAACGGGCACTTTCGCCACAAGACACAAAGTTGCCAACGAGATGAACAGGGCACTTCGCCACAAGACACAAAGTTGCCAAAACAGAAACGAGGCCTGTCGCCAACAGTAGACACAAAGTTGCCAGACGAGAGAACCACAATTCGCCTCAAGCACAAAGTTGCCCAACGAGATGAAAGGCACTTTCGCCACAAGACACAAAGTGCCAACGAGGATGAACAGGCACTTCGCCACCAAGACACTAAAGTTTGCCAACGAGATGAACAGGCACTTCGCCACAAGACAACAAAAGTGCCAACGAGATGAACAGGCACTTCGCCAGCAAGATCAGCATGAAGTGCCAACGAGATGGAACAACATTCGCCGCAAGTATCACAATAGTTGCGAACCGAGGAGTGAACAGGCACTGTCGCCAACAGAGGCCAGCAAAGTTCGCTCAACCGGAGATGAAAGGCAAGGCACTTCGCCACAAGAACAAAGTTACCTAACGGAGAATGACAGGCCCTTCGCCACACAGACGCACAAGTTGCGAACGGAGATGACATAGCACTTCGCCAACACAGGACGACAAAGTTGCCAACGAGATGAAACAGAGCAACTTCGCCACAAGACACTAGAGTTGCGAACCGAGAATGAAACAGGCACTATCGCGCACAGAGAACAAAGAGTTGCCAAACGAGATGAAGCAAGCCACGTCTCGCCTACGAGAGCACAAACGTTGCCACCCAGTCGAGAATGAACAAGCAGCTTTCGCCACAAGATCCACAGAGTTGCAACCGAGATGGAAACAGGCACTGTCGCGCACAGACACAAGAGTTCGCAACTGAATGAACAGGCACGTTCGCACAGCAAGACAGACAGAGTCTGGCCAGACGAGATGGAAGCACGCACTCGTCGACCACAAGAACACAAACGTTCGCAACGAGAATGAACAACGCACTGGTCAGCCAACAAGACTACAGAGTTGCCAACGAGATGAATCAAGCACTTCGCCAGCAGCCACAGAGTTGCAACGGAGATGAAGCAAGCACTCGCCCAACACAACACAACAGTTGCCACGGAGATGAACAAGCAACTTCGCCACCATGAGACACAAGGTGTGCCAACTGAGATGGAACAAAGCACTTCGCCACAAGACACAACGTTGCCAACGAGATGTAATCAGTCAATTCGCCACAAGACACAGAAGTTGCCCAAACGTAGATGAACCACAGGGGCACTTCGCCACAAGGACACAGAGTTGCCAACGGAGATGAACAGCACGTTGCCACAAGAACACAGAGTTTGCCAACGAGAGGGGAGACAGGGCACCTTCGCCACAAACATCAAAAGTTGCCCGAACGAGATGAAGCAGGCACTTCGCCACAAGACCAGAAAGTTGCCGACTCGAAGATGAACAGGCCACTTCGCCACAGAGACAAACGTTGCCACCACCGAGATGAAAACAAGCTACTTGCCACAAGCACACAGAGTTGCCAAACGAGATGAACAAGGCAATTGCCACAATGAGACAGAGTATGCCAACGAGATGAACAACCCTTCGCCACAACGACGACACCAAACGTTGCCAACGAAGATGAACAATGCGCTTCGCCACAAGACAAAGAGCTTGCCTAACGAGAGTGCAACAGAGGCACTTCGCCACGACAGACACAGAGGTTTGCCAACTGAGATGAACAGGGCACTGTCGCCCAAACGACGTGGTTGCCCAAAGGAGATGAACGAGGCATTTCGAACACAAGGCACAAGTTGCCTAACGAATGAAACAGGCACTCTCGCCACAAAGACACAAGTTACCCAAACGAGGATGATATCAGGCCATCGTTCGCCCGAGCAAACACACTAAGTAATTAGCTCTTTGAGCAATTCATCTTATTGCGCCTATCTATTTAACTCATATGAAAGAAACAGCAGTTGCGCTTTTCCCAAGCAAGAACACAGGAAGTGCCGTAACGGTAGATGATCAGAGCTAGCGTTGTCTGCCAAACATAGGACACAGAGTGTGCCGGAAACGAGCATGATGAACGAAGCAGGGACGTGTGGCCAGCAGAGACACAAAAGTGTGCCCAACTGGAGATGAGTGACAGGCATCGTTCGCCTACGAAGACACAAGACGTTGCTAACGAGATGTACAGGACTGTTCGCTCACACAGATCAAGCGATAGAGTTGCCACCGAGAGTGAACAGCGGGCACGTTCGCCAGCGAAAGACACAAAGGTTGGCCGAACGAGAATGAACACGGGGCACTTTCGGCCAAGAGACACAAAGTGGGCGCGGGAATCGGAGAGTGAACAGGGGCACTGTCCGCACACAAACGGAAAGAGGTATTGCCGAACCGGAGTAACAGTATCGACAGCGCTGTCGCCAGGCATAGACAGCAGAGCTGCCAACGAGATGACAGGCAACAGCTCGCGCCTACAAGCCCACGAAAGTTGCCAACGAGATGAACGAAAGTCACTTCGCCACAGAGACACAGAAGCAGCCATGCCGACCGAGATGAACAGGCCACTTGTTCGGCCACAGCGAGGCACAAGAGTTGCCGACGAAGATGAACAAGCGACTGTCGCCCACAGAGACAACAGAGTTGCCAACGAGAGAGAGTTCGACGCACAAACCAGAGTTGCCACCCCCCCGCCGCTCACCCCGGCGCGCGAGCCCGCCCGTCCTCCACCACGAAGGATTGAACAGGACTTGCCGCCACAACGACACAAAGGTTTGCCAACCGAGATGACCAAGCACGTCGCCACAAGACACAGAGTTGCACAAACTGAGAATACAATGCACTTCGCCCACAGAAACAGAGTTGCCAACGAGATGAACAAGCACTTCGCCACAAGAACAACAAAGTTTTGCCAAACGAGATGAACAAGCACTTCGCCACAAGACACAAAGCCAACGAGATGAACAAGCACTTCGCCACAAGACACAGAGTTTGCCAACGAGATGAACAAGGCACTTCGCCACAAAACACAAAGTTGCCACCGAGATAGACAAACACTTCGCCACGACACAGAGCTGCCATGAACAGGCACTTCGCCACAAGAACACAAAGTTGCCAACGAGAATGAACAGGCACTTCGCCACAAGACACAGAGCTGCCAACGACAATGAACAGGCACTTCGCCACAAGACACCAAAGTTGCCAACGAGATGAACAGGCACTTCGCCACAAGACACAAAGTTGCCAACGAGATGAACAGGCACTTCGCCACAAGACACAAAGTTGCCAACGAGATGACAGGCACTTCGCCACAAGACACAAAGTTGCCAACGAGATGAACAGGCACTTCGCCACAAGACACAAAGTTGCCAACGAGATGAACAGGCACTTCGCCACAAGACACAAGTGCCAACGAGATGAACAGGCACTTCGCCACAAGCCACAAAGTTGCCAACGAGATGAACAGGCACTTCGCCACAAGACACAAAGTTGCCAACGAGATGAACAGGCACTTCGCCACAAGACACAGAGTGCCAACGAGATGAACAGGCACTTCGCCACAAGAACACAAGTTGCCAACGAGATGAACAAGGCACTTCGCCACAAGACACAAAGTTGCCAACGAGATGAACAGGCACTTTCGCCACAAGACACAAGTGCCAACAGATGAAACAGGCACTTCGCCACAAGACACAAAG